GTACCGGAGATCAAAGAGTAAGGTACGGGTAGAGGTCGTAGACAATGGAAGCCCAATGCCACCTCAGCATTGTGTCGTACCACATATTATATTACCTTACATATTGCAGTTGTGAAGATGAAGACTAGGTAGGTAGGTATGAGGTACCTTAGGTAAGGTAGGCGTGTGTAGGTCGATGATATGCAGGCTGGGCCGTGTAAATGAGGCACTCTCCCGCTAGCCAATTGGAAGACCCACTTGACTATCGGTACATTCACCTGAGGGCTCCACTTCTACACCGTACCGTGTGAGAGCCTTCCTTTCCAGTACTGTCAGCTCCATCCCAATTCCCGCCATCATTTCTCACCTCGTCACCAATCCCAGACAGTGCAAGCTCTCTTGACCACCTTGGTCAACGACTGGTCATCGACCACGCCCGCCGGCCACACCACACCGCATGTACCTACATGTTTGTTTCCTCCTTTGCTCGAGGGGCTTGAAATGCATGGCTCCTTGCTGACCACTGTACAGCATTTCATTGATTGCTCGAGCTATGGCGCTCATCATCTCCAACAAGGCACCTAGGAGCAAGTCAACGTCGTCCCCTTGAACGAGGAAAGCATTCATAATACTCCGTACCGACAGCTGCTTTGTGCATACGTATCGGTACCTAGGTATCTGGGCCTGCTCGTCAAGCCGAAAGCAAGAAACCTATGGATAGACGACAATGCAATATTTATGCCGCCCTCAGCTCGTTCCACTCGCCTCTCAGACGATGGATCGCTCGCCAGCCCTGTATTCGATTCATTCCAACCCCCAAATGTTCAACTTGTGCGTTTATTGTAGCCTCTAGATACGGGGTCTGATCCTATCCAGGTCGAATGCTTGACAAAGTTGCGACATAGCCTGGATGCCTCAAAGGCGCATCGCATCAATCCGCAGACGCACACCAACGACGTCTAGACACCATTCTTGGAACAGAGTCTTGCATCCCGCCTAGCCTCTAATTGCAGTATCTTCTATTCCCGCGATTCTCCAAATTTTCCGGCACTTCCTTGTGTCACCACCCTCGCCGAAACCCCTGTTATGGCCTTGTACATGCCAGACCATTAGCAACAACCACAGCAACATCTTTCTTTACTGCAACAAGTCCGCCGTCAAATCTTCTGCTACTCAGCCGGTGTCTGCCCATCACTGAGAGGACCCTGGTGTCCGTGATACGTCACATCACACAAGATCTGATCTCTGGAAGCAGGCAAAGGAAGAAACATGGGGAAATGGTGCCTTTTACACTTCCATCTCGCAGGCGACGACGAAGAATCCGGCACATGCTGCTGGAGAAATAAGCTACAGTCAAATCGGAGGGGGGGGGGGGGCTGCATTATGATTTACATGTCGATGACATGCTGCTGGACACGACAGAGCAATCGTCAGCGCCCCCTCACACATCTGCCGTCCCGTCGGTAGTAGCAACAGAAGTAGCAGTAGAAGCGGCAGCAGCGGCGACGGCGTTGAAACGAGCCAAAGAAACGGCCACACTTAAATTCGAGCGGCCCGATCCGACGTGACTGGATCATCCTCGACCAGCTACTTACTAATTAGCCTCGACCATCGGCTTTCGTTTGGTCAAGCTTCGTCTCACGAGTGCTGGCCGTGGCTCTGGCTGTGTACAGCAAAGTGTCCAACATGCAAACCCTGCCCTGCTGGAATGATTCTCCCTCCAGCGGATATCAGGCCATAAGTCAACCGGCCAGTCCGGTGGCCCGAAAAGACCCGGAAATCAGACTTCTGAAACAATGAAGTTGGTTCCATGCCTCATGTATGGTGGCGCGCGCATCAGGTACAATTGTCTAGATCTTTCTGGACTAGTCAGCGGGAACCTGCACAAACGACTTGGTCAGCTAACGCATCGGCCTAAATTGAGTCTGCACTTTTGAACACGAGGTGCAGAGCCTATCTTCCCGACACTAGAATTGACGACCTCAGGCAAAAGATTGGCCGGTCCGTACCATCTTTGGGTCAGTTTGGAATTAGCATTGCCTGCTTTTCTCCCATTCTCGGGTATTGCGACATCCCATTGGATCCTCACGAAGAGGCACGGCTCAAGTTTGTTCTAATCCTGCATTGTCATGCTTCGGCTCCATGGATGATGAGTTCGGTCTTGCCAGCCTCGGAGAGGCGTTCAGTATTCGTACGGTCACTCAAGCCGCTAGTCAAAGTAAGCGCGGACAACCTAAGAACACAGCGCCGTGGAGAGAAATGGTCCGATGGCAAGCTGTCAACCAGGTTAAGGCGAAACCCTATTCTCATCGCACGTGTCATGTGGCGAGCCTGTCTCGGCCGGCAGAGACACGTCTCTGCAAGTCGAGTCTGATCATGGTTCATCAGGACCGATTCTGCGGCAGCTCGAGCGTTGTGCTCATAGACAAGCCACCAAAGGATGCTGGGTCGCATGGGCGGTTTTAGGGCCGAAAGCTACGTGGTGGATCTTCAACAAGACCACGACTTTTGCCAAACGTGTCTTTGGTGTGGCTGTAGAAGACGTGAGGCTGCCTCCACCATCGTCGTCAGCCTAGACTTGAAGTTCTCTGGCTGCATACAATTGTTCCGATGACACGAGGTCAGAGCTCCTCCGCAACGAATTCGCTACTATCAACTTGTTTCAACCAATCCAACGGCACTTAACGCAGGGTGTCGGTCAACTCTGGACGTCATCCCAACACCTGGATCTCAATGGCCGGGATTGTCCGCTAAACGCCCATCTCCTTTCACGACGACTGCAAGCTGCCGCTGATAGCCCTCCTCGTCGCCAAGGGCAAATCCTTTCCCTATCTGAAGGGGTTGTTTGTGGCGTTTCATCCAGGCCCTTGATCAACGGGTAGGTGCAGAATTGCTGCATGGAAGGAAAGCTCAGCGAGGCTTGGAAGGCGTCGTCTTCCACTCACCAACCGAACGACCTCGACTGACCCGGCTACACGCCGATGCAGGTCAGTAGATCCTCCGCTCCTTGGTTCGAAGAAGGCGCCTTGATCTAAGCCTGAATCCATCTGTTGTATCATGTACAGGCAGACTATGGCGATGGAAACGTTGCTTGTGCTAAGAGTCTCTAGCCATCAGGCTTGAGCGCTTGTCAGCTCGCGGATTGATGAGCGGTATAGCATCATTCCACCTTGATTGCACCCTTAGACACGGCCACAAAGACTTGCTTGCCTGAATAGCCCCACGGACCTGGGCCATTGAGAAGCTTGGCCAGCAGCAAAGTCGAGTTGTACAGACTCCCACCCCCCTGACCAAAATACCTCGACTTTGGCCCTAGCCGACACCCGTTACCTTTGCTTGACGGCTTGGCGATGGGAAGTTTTCCTACCCTGCGCAGTCGGTTCACACACCTGTAATCGTATTCTAGCAAAGGAAGCACCAAAGGCAGGAAAAGCACGTCTTTTCGAAAAGTCGACCGGGGCTTCTGGGAGCTCTCCGCAGTGCCGCACGACTGAATGTCTCTTTTTGCCGTTGTCTCAGAGACTGCACAACCCATTTGCTGCTCGCGCGCGGAGGCCCCCGCCCTACCTCTCTCCGATATTGTATATTGTATCCATTACACCTTGGGCTTCTAGGACATTAGCCGGACCTCTGCTTGCGAAATCCAGCTGTCTGCTGCTTCTTGGTTTGTGCAACTGTGTCCAGCAGTCAGTCACAGTTGGAGCCTCCAACCCATCTCTGTCTCTCTGTGCGATCTTGAGCCAGCCACATCTGGGGTTTCTCTGGGAGGGTATATAGATACCTTGCTTCCAAGATCCTGCACTTTTTTGGGCCTCTCGTAGACTCTTCGACTTAGACAACTACATCTCCAGAACAGAGACTCCTTCGATATCTGTTTAGAACGAATAGAAGCTACTGGTTTCGACTGCTCGAGTTACTCCACCTTCCTCACATTACGGCCTACAACAATTCACTTCGAAAGCCTATCCGATACTCGGAGGGACAAGACATTAGCCAACAACAGTCTAACATCTGATCAACACGAAAAGTTGAAACACGAGAGAATCGTCGTATAGTAAGTGGAAACCGCAACTCTTCCTCCTTTCCCCCTCGTGGACTATCACTAGGTCTCTTTGGCGCGATGCTCCCTCTTCGTAAGTTGTGGGTGGCCACCCAGGGCGATTTGCACCGGGGTTCGTTGGCTAGGACCCATCTTGCCGGTTCCCCCGCGTCAGAACCTGATTCGCGGTGATTGAGGACGGGGTCAATCACTGGCTTGCTGGCCATTGTTGATGAGGCAGCTGCACAATCTGTCGCTGAAAGATAAATGAGAACTAACTCCGTTTCAGGTACCTATAGCAATCTGTCGTGCTCTTCTTCCTGCGAGTAAGTGAGACCGCGCTCTCCGTTGATCACCTAGTGTGGAGGAGGACGACCCAGCCAGACCATCTCCAAATAGGAATGCGCAACCAGATAGGCGGGAAAGACAGCAGCTTGATGTGCGCTGCATAAGGCAGTCTTGGAATCCGCGCAGAGGATTTGTCAATGTTTACGGCACAGCTATAACGGCGCGATGCTGTTCTTGCCCTACGCGTGGATCCACGGCGGTGTCTCTAACACGATCGATCGATCATACTGGAGCAGTGGGAGATGCGCTCATGGGTCAAAAAGAAACGGCCACGTTTGTTTCTGACAGAAACGCAAGTTGGGTCCGTTGCTGACGGCAGATTCGAATTGGCTAGGTCAAGCAGGATAAAGAGCTGCACGCAAACCCTTGGCATGACAGGGGCACTCTTGGAGAGTCAACCGGTGAGTATTGAAGACCCGTGAGCCCGCGTGGAGTGTTGGGAAGAGTATCTTTCGAGTCGATTCTTGGAGCCGAGCGAAGAGGCAGAATAGTCTACAAGACGAGCATCGCGGCAAATCAAGCCAGTACCTGCCGAATATCTGAGAGGGAAAGGCAACAGAAGCAAGTCAGTGGAAGAGGATTGGACGAGTTTGTCGGGTGTGTTGGTGGGATGGTTGGGTTGGGTTGGTTGGAAATGGAGCCAGGATGTTTGTTATGGGAACATTGTGTGCTGACAGTTGCGGTGTCGAAACAGAGGATCGAGGAACTGGGGCGACGAGAGCGCTGTTCCAGCGCCAGCACTAGCACCAGCGCCAGCATCAGTACCAGATCACCGCCCCTCTACTACGGCACGACACCCCTCGTGGCCGGCACGGACGACCGTCGTATGAATCCTCAACAGCTACCAAAGGTACCGTGTTATCCGTCATCCTATTTCTGCCCCCTCCTTCCCTTCGGAATCCCTCCCTTTTTCGCGGCTCGCTTGCTTCCCTTCAGGCTTATCCAAGAGGGGGAACTCGTTATGGATACAATGTTCCTATCCTGGTTGGCCTGCCTTACCTGATCGAACAACCATAACAACCCCCTGCAATGTCACTTTTACGCTTCGTTCCCGAGCCCTCTTCCCTTCCGTTCCCTTCTTTCCCTTCCCATTTCCTTTACATCGGATCGCAACGGACGCTGTGCCCTACGGATACTCCGTACCCGGAAATCGAAAAAAACCAGCTGGAGCAACAATTGCGGCGGATGCTGCAACATACCAACAACAATAACAACAATGGACCGGCATGTTCATCAACTTTGATTGATTAAATCGGCCAGGAACCCGTCCATCGGTCGGCGGATGGGGTCGGATCTGCTGCACAGCTACTTAGCTCATCAGCAGCACATTTACGATTACGATCCGGCACAAATTAGCATTATCGGCAAGACGAGACATTGCAAGACAAGACATTTTACGCACAGGACAAGACGAGCGAGACAGACGCGCAGAAACCAACAACGCCTTCAACGGGTGGCGCAGGCAAGGAAGGGCGGGCGAGTCGAGGGCTGGTCCACGCCCAGATCCACGTTCCTAGCCACGTCCCGACGGCCTGAACCTGTCCCGAAGTACGGACAGGCAAGGAAGCGGGCCGAGTGAGGCTTTGCGAAAAGGTGCGTACGCGATTTGGCTCTTATTGCTTTTTCCAATGTCTCTCCTGCCTTGCACACATTCGTCGACGGCACTTTGAGTTCGTCTTGTTTCTCATTTTTCTTCCCTCTCGCCATCTCAAATCACCTGCCTCCCCTTGGAATTGCATTCAGACCAGACAGAGCAAGAGGAGGAAGAAGAAAAAAGCAAGAAAAAAAAGAACAAGGTTGAGGGAAGAGAGCAGAGCAATGCAGCAGAACAGAGCACATTTGGGCCCCCATTCGAGGACAACCAACATGCATGCAATTGCTCCAGTCGCATGCTTTTGTGCTTTATTCGTTTCTTTGCTCTCTCTCTCACTCTGTCGCTCTCCTTTGGGGCCTTGAACTTCCATAGGCCCATCTGATGGGACGAGGAACATAAGACTCGGAGACGATTGGTACTACCACCACCACCATCAATGCCTTGTCCCCCGACACTCAAAAGGCGCGCTGCTGGGGAGGGGGCATCGATGTGCCTCGCACTCATTGAATCACTCACTCGCTCACTCCCGGGTTGATGTGAGGTGTGCAGCCGGGCGTGTGAGCTTGAGAGGGAGATGTGAGCATGCAGATAAGTGTGTGTATGAGTGTGTGTCTGCTCTGCAAGACTTATCACTTTGGCCTGTCGGCAGGCTCGCTCATCTGCAAGTCATGCAAGCAAGTACACTGTGGTGCCTGATGGTATTGGATTGTACCGTGTCTTTCCCATGTTGCCTCTTCTCCTCTCTCTTTCTCTCTTACGCTCTCTCACTCTCACTCTCACTCTCACTCGCCCACACACATACACACACCACACGCACCTGTACACACACACGCACACACCGTCCCTCTCACTCTCTTTCCCTCTGTCTCTGTCTGTCTCTGTGTCTCTTAGCCTCTCTTTCTTTCACTCAGTCTCTCTCTCTCTCTCTCTCCCTTCCCCTACTGCTGTCTCCCTCTTCCCCCTCCGCTGCTGCTGCTGCTCCCGCTGCTGTTGTTCTTCTGCCGCCGCTGCATCCACCGTGGCTCCTCATCGGTCGGGCTCAACGAGACCGACCAGGCCCAGACCGGTCAACCCCAATACCAGCACCCACCCCCTCCCTCTTCTACCTCATTCTCAAACTAGTTTATCGCATGTTACCTCCTTGTGGGAAGATGTCTCTCTTTGGCACGCCCAGCTAACTATCGCCCATGATTGCGCCGCAGGTCACTCACTTGTCCCCTCTGTCCGCTTGTCTGTGGCGGATCACGCCTGAGGCGTCTCGCCCCCGCAACACCCACACAGCTTCCCCCCCGGCTACTACTCCAGCAACGGCACAGCATCCAGATCACTTTGCGAGATCTCATTCTTATTCCCATCATCTTCATTCTTCCAAGAAAGAAGAAAAGGCTATGATCTAACAAGTGCTGCCATCCAAACAGGAGTTCGAACCGTCGACAGGCTATGATTACCTTGACATGCAGGCAGCTTCGAGCAATGACATGCGGTATGTAAACTTCTCCTTGATTTTGATCTTGACTCCTGCCCGGCCCTTGCCAGGACATGGCTTCTGCTTCTTTCTCGGGACTGCAGGATCGTGGTGCTGCGGTGTGCAGGCCTGGTCGGTCATGGCTTTCTTCAGGGTATCCAGTCACTTGGAGCCCTGGTCAGAATTCCACCACCGACTTGGCAATCGTACTCCTCGCTCTGCGAGCCCTACTAAAGATACAGACTTCTTTGGCTCGAATTCTTCTCTTCTGATCGGTTCTCGGCTCAGCGTCCTAGTTTGGCGTGCCTTGGACGCGGAAAAGACGTATGCAGAGACAAGGGCATCTGATCTTTGCAGCGGCGAAGGATGGACAGGCGTGGGTAGCTGCCTTCTGGCAACCAACGTGCGACTAGAAATCCGCAGGCGTTCCCGCCTATCGCAGCGAGATGGTTGTGCATCCTCGCATGACCCGATCCTGTATCCGCTGGCCGTTGTGCAACACGCTGCTGGCAGTACGACGAGTTGGTAGCACTGACACTGTGTCTCGCATGCGGATGCGGTACAGCAGTTGTCGTGCCAGGCTCCAACCCTTTTGCTTTGTACAAGCCTCTTCTTTCGGGGAGCCACTCGGGCTGACGAGAACATCAGATACGAACACAACGCCAATGCTTCTCTGTCGACGATCGAAGGCCCGCCACAACAGTCGACACTCTTAAACCTATTCAATCCACCTATAAGCAACACCACTCCGTACTCCGCTGACGGCGGCTTCTACCATCCAGCCACCTCTCACGTCTACCCCAGCCTGGACGTCGTCAGGCCTCGCCTGGGTTCAAAGTAGGTTGCACACTGTTGCCCCTCTCCGACACGCTACCAGATGGAATCGATCCTATGCTGTCAAGATAGAAAGACATGGTCAAACTCACAGACTTACTTGACAGTAGCACCTCTTCAACGGGTATGGCACATGCCCACCGCTCCACAGCATTACCCCATCCTGGCACACACATCAGCACTCGAGACCAGTACTCTCCAGCGACGCCATCCTTCAGGAGGGTGTCGGAGCACCAGCCCAGATCTCCATCGTACCCAACTGCTCTACGCCGTCACCCCATCTCGCCAACGTCTAGTCCCATTACCGGTTTCACGGCGCCCACGGCTCTGAGGATGGACTCCGGTCACTACCCTTCGTCCTCCTCGAGGGCACAGGCGAGCGTGCCTCCACTAGGCAGCATCAACCCCCTCGGCATCCTCCAATACACTGAAGGAAACATGGGGCAAGTCAAGATTGACATACAAGGCAATATCGACAAGGGCTTCTTCCAGTCTGAAGGAGACTGGACCTGCTACAGGAGGAACTACTTTTCTTGCATCTGCTCCTTCGGCCTGACCCCGCACTATCCTGGTCAGGGTCTACAATTCACACCGCAAGGCTCGACACAACCGTACTCAGTTCTCGGTTTCGCCATGTCCATCTCTGCTGTTGTTGCTGAGAACGATACCCACGTTATCGACCTCGTACAGCATACGCCTAAAAGAGACAAAGGTCCCGTCGAGAAACCGGGCAAAGTGCGCCTCCACCCGAAACATCCTCAAATGTCGCATCCTCTCGGCCTCTACTCCCACGATACCGGGATAGGAGGTTCGTCAAGACTCGGCGGGTATGACGCCCCAGGTGGATTTATTGGTCAACAAGGTGGCGGTGACTCGTACCAGACAGAACACACATTTGAGCGCATCCAGTTCAAGCAGGCTACAGCAAACAATGGGAAGAGGCGAGCTGCCCAACAGTACTATCACCTTCTGATTGAGTTGTGGGCCGATGTAGGATCGCAAGGCCCGGACAACTATGTACGGGTCGCCTATCGAAAGTCGGCCAAGATGATTGTGCGTGGCCGGTCGCCAGGGCACTATCAGAGCGAGAGGCGCGCCAGCACAAGCAGCGGGCCAGGAGGCTCGGGCGGGAGCTTCACCGGATACCCAAATAACTCGATCATCGGTCCCGACTTTGGGTCCGCAGGTGCGATGGTCGGAAGCGGATACGGGGGAGGCTTCGACTCCCGGGGAAGCGCCCATTACGGGTCGACACGACACCATCCAGAACTCGAAACCATGCTGCCGCCAGAAGACGCCAAAGCCATCGAGACGACGAAGGAATACCAATATTATCCGGGTCATATTTACGACACGAGCGATTCCAGGGGTGGCGTGGAAATGTTCACCCATAGCCGCCACGCGCAGGACAACTTGGTACCGCACATGACGCCAACCTACGACCCTCTCCACGACAGAGTCAAGCGGGATCCTGAGGGGGCGATGTTGCCAAGCATTTTCCAACCTGGGGCACTCATGTCGAACCAAAAGTGCGGTCCTTTTGAGGGCAAGCCGACGTCGGGTGGGTACTATCCAACAATGGTGCCCCCGTCCGGTGTCAATGTCTCCAACATGACATGAAGAGACATGAACACAAGCAATTCTTGCGAACACCAAGGCCGCCATGGTGGATCGCGGTCTGTACAATGAGGAACCCTGCAGCGGTTGGGCCCACCAGCAAAAGCGGGCAAACCGTTTATCAGCAAACAGCTGTTTTTTCCTTCGGGTCCTCTTCTGGTTTCGTTTTCCGAGGAAATAATAAAAATTTGGCATAAACACGAAGGCGAGATTCTGGCGTATGGGAGCAACACAGGCATCAGGAACACCACTCGATACCCGAATGAAACTGAATGCATCGTTGACAATGAGTAAGCACAACATGGGTGAGGGAAAAACAAAACAAAGGGATCACGGCGAATTGGCGCGCGGAAAAGAGAAAGATAATTGTTGGTTTGAAATGGGATGGAGGGAAATTTGCCCCCAGCACACCCCGACGTTGAAACATCTTGGGAAGGAAAAGTTTGGGAAAAACAAAAAGGACATTGTCGGCCAGGCGGCCAGAGGGAGGGGG